TTTTAAGAAACAAGGTAAATAAACACTAATTTAAAAAAGTATTGTGTAGTAATTAGAACTCTTCTTAACTATACAAAATGTTTGCTCTATAATTTTAGGAAGTCATATTCAATAATTTTTATTTTATAATTTGATATAATATGTATTGCTAAACAAAAACATTCTTTAATTATTCCTTCACCTCCATTTGTTTAGTTAATGTTGTTTGTTCGATGTCAAAATAAAGTATCACATACATTTAATACTTACTAAGCAAATCCCATGACATGATACATTAATTATTTACATGATAAGCAATAACACTATGGAAATTAAGTTCTCCACGCTTAAAGCATAGTGTGGAGGACTTTTGGGTTCAGACTTCAAATGTATTTGTGAATTTGGATTTCTACTTGCCGTGGCATATATATAGATATATGATTGCCATCTTTGAAAATAAAGAAAAATAGAGATATGAAAGGGGGAAAAGATTTCTCCAACTGAAAAAAGAGTTCAAAATCTAAAGAAAAATACATAAAGCGAAAAGTGTATCCCCTAATCATTTGTTTCAATTTTAAACAAAGCAGGAGTACTTGACAAAATGCATTAGGTAGAGAGTTAACATTGGACATGGACTAATATATGGACATTGGCAGTTAAGACAAATGGCACATGGGACAGTTTTTCAAAGCCTGGCAAAATTTGTTTGGTAAAATTGAATTCTACGTCAGGGCTGGATCTGACCTCATTGGCTAGCTTCATGCAAAAAGGTAGCTGAAACTTTTACACCGCCATACAGTTTACAAACCTAATTTTCTGTTCTCTTGTGGATGCTTAAATCTCACTGTCTGAGAATTTTTGTTCTAATTAAGGAACTTAATCACCAAGACAAATCTTTAGGAAATAAATAAATAAAATAATATATTTACAATAATAACGTATTATATAATTAACTTTTTATTTAAAATCTACCTATAATATTATATATATCTATTTATTGTGTCATGTGACGTATATGTGATTATGCTTGTTTGTGCTGCCTTAATTTGGTCATAAGTAATTATTGTATGGAGTTAGATAATAATCTTATTATTTATAATATTATATATATTTTTTATTTTATGACATTACAAATATATAGTTTTATTTATAATACTTAGCACTACCTAAGTTAATTTGGCCATACTCATAACTAATTGACTATGTTAAAAAAACTGTTTTATAATTTAAATTATAGAACAATTAATGTTAAATTAAGTTAGAAGAAGGTGCACCTTTTCATTTAAGAGTTTTTGTTTTTTTTTTTTTTATGGTACTAACTTTTTCTATATGCAAACCACATTAAAATCTGATTAATTCAAAATCAAATTACGTCAGATCCTATAAATGGAAGTTATTTCGGCGTTTATTTCTTTATTTACAAGACTAAAACTCAAATATTATTTAAGAGGAATTAAATTTTTTTTACTCAAACCAATAGATCATTAGTTCATTTAAGAGTTTTTTTTTTTTTTTATGGTACTAACTTTTTCTATATGCAAACCACATTAAAATCTGATTAATTCGAAATCAAATTACGTCAGATCCTATAAATGGAAGTTATTTCGGCGTTTATTTCTTTATTTACATGACTCAAACTCAAATATTATTTAAGAGGAATCAAATTTTTTTCACTCAAACTAATAGATCATTAGTTCATTTAAGAGTTTTGATTGTAATGTGTAATACATTTTCAACCATAAAATAGGAACTTTTTATTATAAGATAAGCAATGATATATGAATAAGTTTTTTATATAATTTTCAGTTGTTATTGAATAAGTAGATGTATTCAATATTATAAATTTTAAATTAATAAAAAAATTAATTATTTAAATAATATATCAAATTATATTAAAAAGTGATATAAAAAGATTTTGTTCAAATCATTTTCCTTATAAGATATAATCCAAAATGCCACAGGGGCCTTTCCGTAATAATTAGACATACGCAAACCCAAAAATGGATAACAAATCACTCCCCACTCTTTCGCACTCTTTTCCTTTTTTACTTCTTTGTATCCGTTGTAACACCCTGCCCCAACTCTCTTTTTTATCTTTTTTTTTTCCCCTCATCTCACCAAATGGAAGACACCCCCCCTCCATTTTTTTTTTTACTTTCAGAGATTTTCTCATCATCCAAACACTCCAAAGTTTCTATCTTTCTGACTATCAGAGCAAACACTAGACGCACCCGCATCCTTTCAATTCTCCAAGAAGATTCCTCTCATCGCCGGAACCAATGTCGGCCTCCGGCGAACCAGACCACAGCAACTCTCTTCCTCACATCCTCTCTTCAAAAACGCCGTTTCTGAACCTAAAACTCTACGTTGTAATCGCAATTGTAGTCTTCTGCATTCTGATTTCTCTCACGATGTTCCTTTGTATCCGGTGGAGAAGAAGCTCGCGCAAGCGGAAAGTGAAGCACAGCTCTGGTCTAATTCCGCTGGTTTCCAAAGAGATCACGGAGATCAAAGCGGTTAATCGGAAAGTGGATTGCTTTACCGAGGACGGTAAAATGGAAATTCAGGATCCGAAGAAGAAGGGGGAGGCAGCTGCTGCTGCGAGTGATGACTCGTTGAGGTCAAGTGATGTGTCGGTAGATGTGCAGAACATAGGGTGGGGGCGGTGGTACAGCTTGAAAGAGCTGGAAGTGGCGACGCGCGGATTCGCGGAGGAGAATATGATTGGAGAAGGAGGATACGGTGTCGTATACCGAGGCGTTTTACAGGACGGTTCTGTAGTCGCGGTGAAAAATCTGCTCAATAACAAGTACGTAAATTATGAATTCCTGAACTGTTCCACTCTTTGCTTTTGAATCCACAAGTCTAAAGAGAAATCACTCTGAACTCTGAAGCGTTTCATTGATTTATCTGTTTAGATCCAGGAAGTACTACCATGTTGGTAAATTTAGACTCTTGCTCTGTTTGTTTCTAGGGAAAATGCTGCCATTCATTTTCCGAGAAAATGTTACTTGGGAAATACTTGTTTTAGGTAGAAGCTTAATGGAACTTCCTAGTTCCTAAATTTCTTTCAAGTTTTTTTTTTCGCAGAAGAACTTGGAAGTCAAAAGTCAATCAGAGCCTTAGGTAGCACTAAAATGCTGCTGCCCCCGTTGTTTTTTTAATGTCTGTTAGATCCAAGACAGATTGTTACGTAACAATCTAAATTCATGTTCTGTGATCTTTTTTTTTTCTTTTATTTTCCATTATCTGTAGCACTGATCTGGCCCAGGCTGTGTTAGGTGTATAGAACATAGGTGGCCAGTGCTTAAAAAAAAAAAAAAAAGAAGTAAAATTGTTACTTTGTTCTCTTTTTACTTTTCTTCTTTAACTTTAGAAAAACATTTCAATTGTTTGCATGTTTTTCTGCTTTTGCTTTGGCTTTCCTTGTTTTTCCACTTCCCTCTCCATTTAACTTCCAATTTTTTCTGTTGTTTCCTGGATTTGAGGCGGTAATTTACAAGGCCAAAAAAGAAAATTAAAATAATACTATAAAAGAAATTTTTTTTCAATACAGAGTGCACAAAAAAGTGCAATTTAGGTATTAAAATTACCAAAACACCCTTATCAAATCTCCCTTCCATGTTTATTTATTAATGATGTTTTGGTAATTTTAATATCCGGACGGAATTCTTTTGTGTAATCTTTTTTGAATGGTGCCAGTTCAGAGTTGCTGAAAAGTTGTCCTAGCATTGAAGGCCACCCGAAATTTCAGTTTCTTTATGGGCTTATAATGCAAGTTGTCACTGACTAAAATTCCAATTATTTTATCTGAACAATGTTCATTTGGGGTTCTATTTTATTATTAGATTAATCACCGACGTTGTCCTCTTCATAGGGATAGGGGCCAGGCAGAGAAGGAGTTCAGGGTGGAAGTTGAAGCCATTGGAAAAGTCAGGCACAAGAACTTGGTTGGTCTGATTGGCTACTGTGCTGAAGGTTCTCAAAGGTGATATCTGCATAGCAATGTTCTTGATCATTTTAACCTTCAAAATTCAAATGAAAATTAACTAGGAGAAATAAATTGATGAAGGTGAGTTGGAAGTTTGGACTCTCTTAATTTTTCAGCTGAAACTTCTGGTTTTGATACAGGATGCTCGTTTATGAATACGTTAACAATGGGAACCTGGAACAATGGTTGCATGGTGATGTAGGGCCTGTTAGCCCTCTAACATGGGATATAAGAATGAAGATTGCGATAGGGACAGCAAAAGGGTGTGGTATTCTAGTACTTTTTATGAAGCTTTGTGTCTTGCCAGAATGGTTCCTTATGAAGGACAAAGTATTTCAAATGAAAGCAAAAAGAAAAAAAAAGGGAGTCAAAGTTGCTTTTTAAATTTAACTGAACTACTGTTATCTAGAGTCAAGACTATACTCCAGGCCGTGTTTGTTAATATCTTCAAGCTTTTGCTTGGTTTGTATTTTTTCTTACATCATTCCTTTGGTTCAACTTTTAATATGCTGTGGATCTTATATCTATGCAGACTAGCCTATTTGCATGAAGGATTAGAACCCAAAGTTGTGCACCGTGATGTAAAATCGAGTAACATTCTTCTGGACAAGAAGTGGAACGCAAAAGTGTCAGATTTTGGACTGGCAAAGTTGTTAGGGTCTGAATCAAGCTATGTGACTACACGAGTGATGGGGACATTTGGGTTTGTTCTTTCTCATTATCCTAGATCATTTCCCAATTACAAGATGGTTGAATTTAAGATAGATTGCAATAGATTTTTGGTTATTATTTCTAACTTCTAACCGGTGTCTTGGTGACTTTGCTGCAGTTATGTCTCTCCTGAATATGCTAGCACTGGTATGCTTAATGAGGGAAGTGATGTCTATAGTTTTGGAGTCCTGCTTATGGAGATGATTACAGGCAGAAGCCCAATTGATTATTCTAGACCAGCTGGAGAGGTGAAAACAATGTTCCACTTGTGGCATCTTCCTCTAAAAATAAGAGCACTGTAATAATGCTCTTTTTTGGCTGTGTATTTCAGATGAACTTGGTTGAGTGGTTTAAAGGCATGGTTGCAAGCCGTCGTGGAGAAGAGCTTGTGGACCCATTGATCGAAGTTCAGCCCTCTCCTAGAGCTTTGAAACGAGCATTGCTTGTTTGTCTCCGCTGTATTGATTTGGATGCCCATAAACGGCCAAAGATGGGCCAGATAATTCATATGCTTGAGGCAGATGACTTTCCTTTTCGTTCTGTAAGCCCTTCTCCTGCACCCTTGTTTTCATGTGTGTATATCCTTATTGAAAAATGATATAGGTTTGGAATCAAAATTTCTTCTCATGAATTAATGGTCCTGTAGCATAGTCACATGCCATCCATATTACTTTTAATGAGTTAATGTAATTGCCAGATGGGATGTGCCATCAACCTGAAAGTAGTTGTTCAAATTTCAAAATGTCTAGAGGTTGGCTTAGACTTGTGATGTAGGAATGCTATGACATTCAGATATACAACTACTGCTCTATTGGCTCTTTGTTTACTTCTTGAAGCAGAAAGTTTTACATCAAAGAATTTTTTTCTTCTCTGCTTCCTATTTACTTCAATTGACTATCCTCTTTGTGCTCCACAGGAACACCGACCAACTCGAGAAAGAGATCCAGTGCCTTCCTCTGGAGCCACATCCTTTGAAGTTTCATACCCAACAAAGCAAGGTGGGGGTGGCAACATAGAGAAACCAAGATGGAGATAGTTACCTACTCTTTGTCAAAGGCCTTTACAGTTTCTGAGGTCAGATCATGTTGTAGAATAAGATTCCCCCTTAGCATACGTAAGCTACAAGTCTGGAACGTGCATACATACATATATATATATCTCTTGACCTTCCTTCCACACCCTTGTTGATACTTTGCAGCATCCTAGATTTATATGAGCCCTGTAAATATGTACGTGTATTCCAATATTGAAGTATATCAATCTTCTTGGTTTATGCATTGTTTGTTTCATTTTAACCTTGGCAAAGCAGCCTGGTTTAATTAGACTGTTCTCTCCTCTGATCAAAAGTTCGGTCTTCAGGCATTACACTTGGTCTTGGTTAGATTGAGTTGCTGAAATGGTAGACTGTTTCACTTTTCTTGTCAAAAGTTAGGTCATTCAAGGCATTACATTGACATGTATGTTTGGTATCAACTCTTATAACAACTAACATGATCAAAGCCAAAGTCCTTATTTGCTTAATGTTGAGGTTTCTATGACTCTTATAACTATGTTAAAGTTTAAAAAGGTGTTGTTTTGTCATTTTACAGATAAATAGTAATAACTATTAATCATATTTAAATTCTTAATCCAAACACCCTCCAAATTATTAATAATAGTTAATCCTAAAGTTACGTAACTACCACCCACAATCATATTTGTGTTCCTAAACCTCAGGCGAATGTGACTGTCACTGTTAAGCACTGTTCAAGGAATCTTGGCCCTGTACAGGAGTTTGTTGATCGATGCCAGCGAAGACCATGACCCTAGAAAGGAGACCCCCATGATAGGCAATCAAAAGAAAAAGGAACATGCTTCTCCATCACGCCAATACCAAAGTTGCCAACCATT